CCTTCGGCCGCACGCAGGTACTGGTCGACCCCCTGTTTATCAACAGGAGGCCGAGTCCCGCCGCCCAGTCGACCATGGCCCTGCCCCGGGGATCCTCCTGCCGGGGACTGCAACCCCATTCCGTAGAATGGGCGCAATGCGGCAATCTATCTAAGATTTCTTCAAGATGACCTGCCCAACCTCTTGAGACATGTCGACAATTATTTACTCAGACGAATGTGGTTCCAACAAGATGGAGCACTGGCTCATAAATCTCGAGCTGCTATACAATATTTAAACAATAGATTCCCGAATAGGTGGATTGATATGGGCAGCCGAGTTCAAGAATGGCCCCCACGATCACTCGACTTGACACCCTTAGATTTTTATTTCTGGGGCTACATTAGAGATATAGTTTATTCGCAAAAGCCTATAACCGTTGAAAATATGAAAAACCGGATCAGACAGGCTTGCAGAAATATTAATGTAGGTGTTCTTGAAAAAGTTAGGGACGACTTTCACCATAGACTAGAGCTATGCATACAAGTAAATGGCCAAGTTTTTGAACACTTTAAGTAATTGTACACAAAAGAAGGTCTTGTCTTGACTGGCTGGATCATGCTCGGATCTTGCCTTGACTGGCTGGATCATGCTCGGATCTTGCCTTGACTGGCTGGATCATGCTCGGATCTTGCCTTGACTGGTTGGATCATGCTCGGATCTTGCCTTGACTGGCTGGATCCTGCTCGGATCTTGCCTTGACTGGCTGGATCATGCTCGGATCTTGCCTTGACTGGTTGGATCATGCTCGGATCTTGCCTTCACTGGCTGGATCATGCTCGGATCTTGCCTTGACTGGCTGGATCGTGCTCTGATCTTGCCTTGACTGGTTGGATCATGCAAGATAAGATTATCGGAAAGTGAATGTTTTACGAAATATTTTGTATTTTTATCAAGATTTTGTAAATTTGGAGCTTTATAACTCGAAAAGTACTTCACCAAAAAACATTTGATTATCGTGTATTGGGAAGCTCTCGAGGTTAGCTACAAGAATATGTAATAAAAAATAGGGGGTGCTACCTAAAAAATTTAAGGTAACCTTCACGTGACCTTCAAATGACTCTTCAAGGTCAAATCAATGGTACCATCTTATGGCCCCCTCGGAACCATACAAAACATGTCTGAACCATTTTTCTCTAAAATAAAAAATAAGAGAGATATTTGGTGTGGACACTTAAAATGGGACACCCTGTTTATTATACAGTGCCTACCAAAAGTTCGGGGCCACCTAAATAATTTTTGAACGGTTTGAAATATAGGATTGAAATTTATAAGGATTCAATGGGATCACAAAATCTATTATTTAACCACAAAAACACTCATCTCCATACTCCCGGGGCCGTGGGGAGGGGGGAGCCAAAAAATCTCAAATGGCATGTTGGGTTGAGTGAGGGCTCGTTCGAAAGGGTTTTCCGAGACAAAAACAACGCGAGATCGCCGAGGTCTTTACAATTTTTTTTCGCATAGTTATGATAATTTGAACATTGAGATTTTGCGAAGGCCCACAGCGACAACAGAAGAAAGGTCAGGCTTCACGCGGGCACGCGCGTTCCTGTGTGTGCGTGCGTGCGTGCGTGCGTGCGTGCGTGTGTGTGTGTGTGTGCGTGTCTGGCCAATTAAGGCAAGACCGAGATAGGAACACTGGTGTATGTGAAGGAATAAAAACACTAATTATTTAATCAAATGTTCAAATTGATGTCCTTCGACAACTTGGCAGTGTCTTAAACGAACGTAAAACGTTTCAATTACGTTAGTTAAAAAATCGGGTGTGATTGAATTTGAACGTTCACTATTTTTTCCCGTAGCTCTTCTAAATTTTCGGACCTAGTCTCATAGACCTTTGTTTTCAAAATTATTGCAATTTGCTAAGAAACCAAGTGATACCGGCTATTCAAGATATTGCTGGAGAAGCTTTCCACAATGTTTGGTTTCAGCAGGATGGGGTTCCAGCTCATTTTTCTCTATAAGCTCGAAATATTCTAAACGATGTTTTCACTGATCGATGGATTGGTAGAAGAGGCACAATAGAATGGCCACCGAGATCACCAGATCTGACCCCATTAGACTTCTTTTACTGGGGGTATTTGAAAACAAAGGTCTATGAGACTAGGTCCGAAAATTTAGAAGAGCTGCGGGAAAAAATAGTGAACGTTTCAAATTCAATCACACCTGATTTTTTAACTAACATAATTGAAACGTTTTACATTCGTTTAAGACACTGCCAAGTTGTTGAAGGACATCAATTTGATTAAATAATTAGTGTTTTTATTCCTTCACATACGCCAGTGTTCTTATCTCGGTCTTGCCTTAGTTGGCCGAACACACACACACACACACACACACGCACGCACGCACGCACACACAGGAACGCGCGTGCCCGCGTGAAGCCTGACCTTTCTTCTGTTGTCGCTGTGGGCACTTGCAAAATCTCAATGTTCAAATGATCATAACTCTGCGAAAAAAATCGTAGAGACCTCGGCAACCTCGCGTTATTGCCAAAATTAGTCCGTGAACAATAGATTTAAAAATGTCAAAAATAAATATCATTTAAATGTTAATGGTTCTTTTCAGCAAGAAACATCTTTTATTTTCTAAGATAATATGTAGCCAATAAAATACGAAAACGCATACTTTGTACAACATATACAGTTTCTACCAACTTTGATTAATTTAACCGGTTGGTTATTCCATCGGAATCGACCAATCGCGTTTGTCAATTCTGATCTACAATTAATGCGATAGGTTAATTCCGATGGAGTAAACAGCCGGAAAAATTAATCAAAATTGGTAGAAACGGACAAGTGTTCCTTACTGAAAAATACCCAATAATTATCCTTGTTTTACCTGAAGTGGGAAATACGCGCTTCGACAGTACAATTTAAGCGAGAAGAGCACACTCGTGCATAATGGGATAATGCATAACATAAGGAAATTGATCGATCAGAGTCGTTTATTTCCATTGTGATAGTAAAAATGAGGATTTTAATTGCTTTATTTCTTTATGCGTCATGCATTATACCTTAATGCAAAAGTGTGTGCTTCTCGCTGAAGCATGCATTAGCACACATACATAATAACATCAAAAATAAATTATTAAAATAATTTCTGTAACTTAAATTAAATTGAATGACTTAATGCTTATAAAATGGGGGAGGAGGATTTAAATAAATCCGCATCTGCTCAAATTCTGCCGTAAATCTGTCGTAAAACGTGCTTGACACGATGTGCTGTGTTACTGCCGCAAATCTGCCGTCAGACGCTGCTTGGCACGGTGTGCTCGGTTTCTGCCGCAAATCTGCCGTCGGACGCTACTTGACACGCTCGATTTCTGCTGCAAATATGTCGTTAAATTACTCTTGGCACAATCTGCTCAATTTCTGCTATCAGTATGCTGTTACATTACTAAGGATAGTTTGTTCGATTTCTGCCGTCAATCTGCTATCAAGTCTGTTAACAGATCTTGTTGTATTATTGCCGACATTCTGCCGACATCATTTGATAAAACAGATTTCGCTTCAATTCTGACGCTATTCTGTCGACAAAACTTGCTGCATACATTTGCCAAAATATGCTTTTGACAGACTTGGCTATTAGGGTTAATATTATGGCTATTAGGGCTATTTGACTACAATATTTCTAAGAGCACACATTGCAACGTTGCCGTAATGTTTCATTGTAATATTTCTAAGGGCGGACATTTCAACATTGCCACAATCTTGCAGCAACGTTACAGGAACATTTCGTAACCATCATGCAATGTTACAATGTTTCTGTGTAATAATTCTGCAATATCCTGCAACATTTCGGTGCTGTATGGGTGAATAATAAAGAACGACGTTTTCATAAAAGTTATTAATTTTAATATGTTCTTTTACTCTATATATTTGGCATTCAGGTTCATTTTCCTCGTCATCATTAAACATATTCCATAAAAATAACAAATCCATGTTTGTGTTCTATAAGAATATTTATAAAAATATTTTTGTTAAACAAGAATATGAATCAAATTATAAGTTACCTAAAATATATATCTAAGATATATATGTATACTCAACTATAAAAGATTAGGTTTGATATCTTAATATGGTTTTTTCGAAATGCAAATAAATCAAGATGCAATCACGTCCTTTACTTGTTATGAGCTAATCGGATCTGATCAGATTGCTCCGAGGACACGTTTCATAAATCGGATTAGTCTAGGGAACTTTTTCTAAAGTCAGTTTATATCACTGCTTCCAATTCGATTACAAATCAGATTGCTAGAAGTAAACACCCACAGACAGCGATCACGGATCCGGATCCATCTAGGGGATTCTTTAAAATTTAGTGAGTGAGTATCACTGCTTGGTCCGATTTGGAATCCGACTAGTTGTCGTAAACACTCCGTGTAAACGTAGTTTATGTTCCTTCCGCATCTTCTTATCTCCATGGAAAGAAGAAAGTAGAAGCAGAGAGAAACTTAAGAGCAGCCACAGCCGTGTTTTGCTTGAGGCGCTTTTTCGCGACTGTTTGATACCACCTTCTGCATCCATTTTTAGCCGGGAACTATTTGCTGCATCCATTTTCTGGCGCACCGGTAAAGTCTCCACTTGGTGCGAGTCCTGGAAGTGGACGTAGCACGGACTCGCACCAAGTGGAGACTTTACCGGTGCGCCAGAAAATGGATACAGCAAATAGTTCCCGGCTAAAAATGGATGCAGAGGGCGGTATCAAACAGTCGCGAAAAAGCGCCTCGAGCAAAACGCGGCCGCGGCCGCTCTCAAGTTTCTCTCTGGTAGAAGAGATGTTTCGTGTTTTATAACTTTTTGATTACCTCTTGTTTAGTAATCTCTTGTTTCATAAGCTCTTGTTTAATTATCATCATCAGAATTCAAATGCCTTATCAGTATACTCACGTGTTATCTGAATTTATTTGTTGAAACAGTTTTAACAAATTTAATAAACTATAAATTTTACGAAATTTATATTTCTACTCGTTCACAGTCAGTTATTGCACTAAATTTACTTTTCTTAGCACGTGTTATAATTTAGTTATTGCAAAGTTATTGAAAATTAATAATTATTACTATGGATAAGAATGAAAAATTACAATTATTGAGAAATGCTATAAGAACTTATCCTGATTTCCCGGAACCTGGGATCCTTTTTCGGTAAGTTAAGATTCATTTTCAGTAAGTTAAGATCTTGTAAATTTTTATTTATTTCTCTCAAAAATATTTAAATGTTTATGGTTATTACATATATTTTATTATATGAATTATTTATTATCTTTCATCAGGGATATATTTGGCGTGTTTCAAAATATTGCAGCTTTGAGGGCAATGAGAGATTTAATTGTGGAGCATATTTTATTCTTAGAAATTGACTTGGTTATTGGTTTAGACTCACGTGGCTTTCTTTTTGGTCCTATGATTTGTATGGAGTTAGGCAAACCTTTCTTGCCTATTAGGAAACAAGGCAAGCTTCCAGGCAAAGTTATGAAGCAAGATTACACATTGGAGTATGGCAAGGTATATATTGACCAAATTAAGGAAAAATAAATTTGCTCATTCTCTCTCTCTCTCTAAAATGTCTTTCTATATATAAAATATATAAGAAAATATTTAACACTTTATCACTTACATAGGCTACGTTTGAACTGCAAACAGAATTCATTAAAAATGGTACCAGAGCACTCATTGTCGATGATCTATTAGCAACTGGAGGTAAAGTATACAAAAATATTAGGCTGTGCAAACAAATAGAGTATATGTATACAAAGTATTTATGGAATATATAATTAGTATAAAATTAATAGAAAATTCTTTAAAGGTACTATGGCTGCAGCTGTGCAACTATTGAAATCAGTAGGTGCTGATGTGGTAGAATGCCTAGTGATAATAGAATTGACAACATTAAAAGGTCGTAATAAGGTTGGGGTACCTGTTTATTCTTTTGTGCAATATGATTAGCAGATAATATACAATAATTTTTTACAAATATTTTACAAATGTTTGACCAGAGATTTTCTGTTCATATAATAAGTATTATGACTATACATTCCTTTCACATAGCAAATGTAAAAGTACAAATATTTTTCTACATTTTACGCAGACATGTACAAAAGATATCCAATATTTTATATATTAAAGTGTAAAAATAAACTTAATAATTTTTTTAGAGCTATAGAATTCTTGAAAATATATAATAGGAAATTTAATACATAATTTAATATAATAAATTAGTATAAAATGATATCCTTATATTATGCATGATTACATTAAAATATTACTTTTATATTTTACTTCAAGTTTTATCAAATCAACTTTAAATATGATCTAATATTTAACTTTGATTCATTTTCACTTTGATTTCAGTGTATCTAAAAAACTTAGCACTTCATATTCAAGTTTTATCACATCTCGTTGTAATTTTTCATAATTTTTTGGTGCAATGTCTTTAAAGTTTGAAGTTTCATTTATCATATTTTTGTATTTTATACAAACTTGTATGCCTCGTAGTTGCAAATCTGAATTTTTTTTGTACAAATGCTCACAGTATGATCTTTTATGCTTTTGGAAGTATCTCTGTACATCTAAAAACAGAAAATAAAAGATTTCCCATTCAAATAAATTAATTTGAACCAAATATTGTATATCTTACCATTTAATCTTGTATCATGAATTTGTTTTGCAATAGTATTAAAATTTTGGTTGGATTCTACAATCTTGTAATTACAATCTTGCGAATGCTGTTTTTGTGCTATACATTCTTTTAAGTCTGCAGTGCAAAAATTTTCAACGAGAAACTTGGGATACTTTTTCATCATAAATAAGGGGTAAGGTCCGGTGTGATTCAATTGTAATAGTTCACTTCTATAACAGATTTACATAGTTTAAATATAATTGTCTATAAAATGTGATTGTGTATAATGTCCTGTGTGTTATCATAACAATACCTTAGATTGGAATACACTCGTCCTGGCACTTCTTGATCCAACTTCCTTGCAATTTTTAATAAATCCTTTGTCCTAACATGACCTTGAGCGCTGTAAAAATCTTTTATGTCTTCACGACAATCTCTAGATGATTGTATTAAAGAAATTATGTTTTCCCTTGAATGAATGCTGTAAGCAACGACACATATCAGCAAAAGACGAGGCTTGTGAAATGTTATTAGATGGTCCCATAATATCAGCCATTCATCTCCTGATAATACTTCGCTCATTGCAGTCTGAAGTAACGGCCATGCGTATTCGCTGGTTGTTATACCATGCTCGCAGAAAATATTTAATAATTGTGGATCTGCCTCCAGTAGGATATTTTCAATAATTCCCAGAATATTTAATGGCGGGAGAGGATGATATTCGAACCAATTATGGCAATAGTTCAGTAATATACTTAGAATCAACTCAAAAGCAAGTAAAGGATCTTTCTGAAACAAATACGAATAGATACTTGAAATAAACATGTTTTAGTAATCATTTTGATAAACGACGTTTACTCAAAGTGGTGTAAAGAATTACCTGAAATACCATAAGAAATGGGAAAGCTAAATTGGGAAGAAATGGACTTTGCACAAGCAACGGACACCATTGCAGTAAACAGTTCATTGTCATGGCGAGTAACGACGCCTTATTCTTATCCGCTACAGAATAATTCCTTAAAGTATCCCATGTAAATCCTCCACGTGTTACTTTATTTGCCAAGGCAAGATATGCATTTCTATTAGCTGGGAGTTTTAGGATGATGGACCAGATTATCGCACGATATTGCTTTGGATATTCTCCGAATTCCGTTAAAATGGATATCAAACGTTTTGCATCTAATTCTTGCTTCATACTTTGTTGAACGTATTCTAAATGGTCACTTATTTTGTGCGCCTGCGGTCGATCTAACTCTAATGGTTTTTTTGACTGAGAACATTTTTCTGTGATAATTTTGTTGGTATGCATTATATTTAGACATCCTTCTTGATTAATGTATGCTATGTATTTGCCAGCTGATGAAACAGCAAATTTTTTAACTCTATTGATGGCATCAGATATCTCAAGGGAGTTTAACAAATTTAAGTCACAAAAGTGAAGAGAACATTTTGAAGATAAAAGTGCGACGATTTTATTTGCCCCGCCATCCAGTGGACGTGGAATGACAGCCAACTGTTTTACTTGGACAAAATTACTAGGCAGAGATAATTTTCTCAACAAACTCCAATCATATGTGTTAAGAATGTTTATGCCTTTTATGCTAATCATTATCATGGCTTTTCCATCTTTTGTGAAGTTAAAATCCTTGACAGAAAGTGCATCAAATATTTTTGTGTTGATCTTAATATCCTTGTCTAATTGCCTGAATAACCAAGCTTGCATAGTGTCATTGTTGTACAGTACAACAATGTGACCAGTGTTTGAGAAAAGAGCCTTTCTTATTACTGCATTTTTTGCATTAATTTTCAACTGATAAGTTTTACTATAGGATTGTAGATACCATATTATGACCTCACTCTTAGAGTAAGTTAGACAATGACTTTTGTAAAAGGAAATATGTATTGGTGGTAATTTATGTCCAGATAACAGAGAAAATTCATTTAAATTTGTATAAAGCTTCCAGATCTTTATATCACCAGTGTTACATCCTATCAAAATTTCCTCTCTGTATCTGGGATTGATAGCGAGAAAAGTAGCTTGTTCAATCTTTCCCAGTCTTTTGTATAATGGAATATCCTCATACAAATCAATGCAATATAAGTTACCTTTGGTATCCACTACGACAAGCCATTCTTCATCATAATCAAAAGCCAACTGGGTGAAGTTGAGGATAGCTGTACATTGCTCTTTTTCAGTACTAGCTTTAAGTTCATATTTGTGATTGTCGTCACTTTTGTTTAGTTTATTCCAGCCTCTGTTATACATAGTAGATATGTATGGAACTGTCATGAAGCAAAATTGCAATATGATTAGTTACTCGATATAATCTTTGACACAATTATTGTTTTAGAAATCTCTTTTCAAGCTTATTAATTTCATGTTTATTATTATCTATTATTTCTTTTAACAGAACGAAATAAGAACATATAAGATGTGACATAACCAAACCGTAATATGCAATATTGATGTTTTGTTCTTCTTTTAGTTATATGCGGCTTTCGGATACTCAAGTTGTTATAAATAACTCGTGGACGCCAAAACAACCGTCTATATTCAGTTCAGTTCGTTATATGGCTCCGAACTACATACAGCAATGTCCATACGCCACTTCCCAGTAATATGATGTAAAAAGAAAAACGGACAGCGCGTACGCAATCCTCACGATTAAAAAATTATGCGTAGTTACAAGAACTACATCCATCCACCACGGAGGCGAACAAGACTACTGTCTATGGATCTGTTCTTTATAGCTGCACTACTGGACTAGTGCAATAAGTTAAAATGAGACTATATTTTTTCTCATTCTAACTTATTGCACTAGTTTAGTAGTGCAACTATAAAGAACAGACCCTATATTCAGTTCAGTTTAGTCAGAAAGAAATCTGAGAGCGGCTATCAGCGAAGGTTCAGAAATTTTTATGAATTCGACGCGCCCCCAGAGAAAATAGACGTCAACTACGTCGATACGCCCCCTGAGAAAATAAACGTCAACTACATCGATGTCGTTCGGTAACGAGGTTTGTCTGTAATAGTTTGGTTCATATCTGAGCTACTACACAGAATATAGTAAAAATTATATATATCATCAGGAGGAATCATCCCAGCAAACACAATATTACATATAATGTGCATGTTAGTTATAATTTCCTATTCAACAATATAACTGTTATATAACACAAATGTTATATAATAGTTATGAATTAAGATCTTTATCAGTTTTCTTTCAGTATGTATAACAGTCAAGATATGATGAGCAAAATAATTAATTATTCGATAGAATTGTAAATAAGATTATCGAATTTGAAATACCGTATACAAGAAAGTCATTTTCACAATCATAAATAATACTTTTAAGGAAATGTTATAAATAACAATATATAAGAAAAATAATATAAAAAACTAATCCACGTTACATGTAATATTGTGTTTGCTGAAATATTTCACGCACTGCGTTTCGCGTAATTAGGAAAGGAAATTATTTAGGGTAAGAAATAAATATGAGAAATATATTATATTTTCAATTTTTTATTTTCTTTTATGTGTGTATGTGTGTGTGTGTGTGCGTGCGTGCGTGTGTATATATTTGTTATTGCGTCACATAAATATTTATATAGGACATTTCTCTGCCTCTTCTTCTCCATTCTCCTCTTCCTCTTCCTCTCCATTCTTCTCTTCTTCTTCCTGCATCTTCGCTTTCACCTCTTCATCTTCCTCTCCCTGTCCCTCTTCTTCTTCCTCTCCCTGTCCCTCTTCTTCTTCCTCTCCCTGTCCTTCCTCTTCCTCTTCCTCTTCCTCTTCCTAGTGCAGCTACCACCGCTGCTTCAATAATATTTTGTAAAGCTGCAGTCTGTAACAATAAGACAATATTAAAATATAAAGTAAAGAGTTAAATAAGAAGTTACAATTTAATATAATGTACTCAGTAAACATACATGTCTAAAAGACGTCTAAAAGCTTTCTTTAAGACAATTTTTAGACTTGTATGTGTAAAAAACGTCTTGAAGAAATCTTTTAGACGTCTTTTAGACATGTATGTTTACTGGATATTGATTAGCGTCTAGGCCCAGTTCCACAACTTCTAGTTAACTTAACCAGCTGGTTATTTCACTAGACTTGACCAATTGCATTTGACGTTAAGAATTAATCAGAATTAAACAATTACTATTGGCATTTAATCAGTAGTTAAAGTTATACAGAGGTTGTGGAACTGGGCTTTAGACATATATATCAGGTGTAGTAAAAAGAAATCCATTATTTTTCCAATAGATGGCTTTAGTTATCTGTATCTCGCGTTGTATAAGTCCGATGGGATTCCATCGGACATCCACTAGATGGCGTTAGAAAGATGAGATTTGTGGGGACTTTGAGCTCCCCAAAAGCGCACGCATCCGTTTTCCGTGCGGCGCTATAGAGCGCGCGCAAGTGTCACTCGTGCGGGAAAAAGGACCAACGAGCCAACAGTAACCGTTGGAAGCGCACACAGAGCTCACGAACATACGATCGCTAGTATATAGTTAGTCATTCCTTTTTGTCGTGTGTGACACCGCGAGATCTGCACGCGGTCGCGATTGTGCGAGAGCGGGCAGGCAGGAGCATCGGCTCCGTTCGACACACACACACATATACATACGAGTCCCGCAGTGGCTCATATGTCGTGCGAGCGCAGAGAACTATTTTTTCTTGTTGTAAACGATAAGTTGTACCTGTGACTCACGTGCTCTGCAGCTGGCAGGCACGTGCGCAATAAAGGGACCAAAGAAGAACACGCCTAGGTTGATTTAGGAACCTACCCTCCACTTGCATCAGCGAGAGAGCAAGAGGACACAAAAACCCTAAAGATTTCGTACTAAAAAAAACTTTTCTGACAGTTTTGTAATTAGTTGACTCAGTTTTGTTTGAGCGCGCGTCAAAGATGGACACTAGCAAAGAGAAAATACGCTATATTTTACAGTTTTTCTTCGATAAAGGCGGAGACGCAAGCCAGGCAGCTGAAAATGTGAATAGTGTTTATGGTCCTGATACTGTAACAGCCAATCACGCGCAATTTTGGTTTCGTCGATTCCGTTCCAGTAATTTCGATGTCAAAGATGCACCACGCATTGGAAGGCCAATTGTCGAATATATCGATAAAATCATGGACATTTTCGAGTCCGACAGTCATGTAAGCACTGTTTCGATTGCCCAAGAGCTAAAGATTGCACAAAAAACCGTTTGGAACCATTTGAATAAGGCTGGATACAAAAAGAAGCTCGATGTATGGGTGCCACACGAGTTAATGAAAAAAAACCTCATGGACCGAATTTCCATCTGCGAATCGCTGCTGAATCGCAACAAAATCGACCCATTTCTGAAGCGGTTGGTCACTGGTGATGAAAAGTGGATCACTTACGACAACGTCAAGCGAAAACGGTCGTGGTCGAATCGCGGTGAGCCGGCGGAAACGGTGGCCAAGCCAGGATTGACGGCCAGGAAGGTTTTGCTGTGTGTTTGGTGGGATTGGCAGGGAATTATCTACTATGAGCTGCTCCCCTACGGCAAAACTCTTAACTCGGAACTGTACTGTCAACAATTGGACCGTCTGAAGGAAGCAATCGCCCAGAAGCGGCCAGCTTTGGCCAATAGGAGAGGAATTGTGTTCCATCAGGACAACGCCAGGCCACACACATCGATAGTGACTTGCCAGAAGCTCCGGGAGCTTGGTTGGGAGGTTCTTATGCATCCATCTTATAGTCCGGACCTGGCACCAAGTGATTACCATCTGTTCCTGTCCATGGCGAACAATTTTGCTGGTGAAAAATTTGCTTCAAGAGAGGCTTATGAAAATCGACTGTCTCAATTTTTTGCCAATAGGGACGAGGGCTTCTATGAGAGAGGCATAATGAAATTACCTTCAAAATGGCAACAAGTTATCGAACAAAACGGCGCATATTTGACCTAAATCGGATCAACTATGGTAATTAAAGCCTTCAATTTCATGCAAAAATAATGGATTTCTTTTTACTACACCTAATATGTAAGCAGTTTGAAAAGTTCTCGACCTGACACATACATACCCAGTAAGCAAAATGCTAACAGAATGCGCGCAGATTGACGCCAATTTCGATCAGATCTCCACATCAAAACCATAGCCATCTGTGTCCTCATTAGGCTCGTGTTTTGTCGACAGGACCTGTGTGACAGGCAGATTTGTAGCAAAAACCGCGCAAGACTTGCAATAATTTGACGGCAGATTATCGGCAGAAACCGCGCAAGTCCTGCTGCCAAACTACACGTAGAGTCTGCGCGTAGAGTTTGCTCGGTTTCTGCCGCCAATCTGCCGTCAAATTACTGCAAGTCTTGCGCGGTTTTTGCTACAAATCTGCCGTCAAATATCTGACAACAGGATCTGGCGCATATTTGACCGCAGATTGGCGGCATAATTTGATATAACAGATTCTGCGTTAAATTTTGCCTATTTGCCATCAAACTATGATAGCAGGCTTTGTTCGAAATCTGCTCGCGCAGGTTTGGCTATCTGGGTAGCATTAGAAACTGTCAAACTATAATTGTATTGGAAAGTGGCATCCCTGATATAAACCCATGTAAAATTTTATTCAATCTATCAAGTCATTCGAGTAGTAGCACCAGTTGAAAAAGCTTTGTGCAAGATAGGTGCCACATTTGCTAACAATTGACTAAAAATGCATTCGAATGCGTATTTCTCAAGCGTGTTTGGCACATTTTAAACAAAATAAAATGGATTTCAAACGTCGTTTCATAACTGTTGATGAAATTTGAATCCATCACTATACACCAGAGCGAAAAGAACCTTCCGGAATCATATTTTAATGATGGTATTGAATTATTGGAAAAACGTTGGAATAAATGTATTGAAGTTTTAGGAGATTATATTGAAAAACCTATTTCACGGCAAAAAAAATTTTCTTTCATTGTTATGCCAAGAACTTTTCAGACTGCCCTCGTAGATTTTTATACTTACTGTTAACGTTATTGGCTCGGTCGCCGTCGTGGCCATTGCTGCCGTCGTCGATGTCGCCCCGGTAATTTTTTCAGACACTGCCATCGTAGCCGTCGTGGCTGTCGCGGACGTCGTGACCATTGTGGCTGTGGCGGGCGTCGTGACCGTTGTGGCGGTCTTCGTCGTCATCGTATTAAGCCCGTTCTGAAATAATTCATGAAACATATTTGTTATAGAAAAGCATTTATAATATATATATATAATTAATATTTAACGGTTAAATATATATTTACCTCATTCGCCGACATCCTCGCATATGCACTGTCTAACACCTACTAAGCAACTGACATCTACTGACACCAACTAACTGGAAAACATATGCAGCACGCTAGGCACATAGCTGCGGATTGTTTATGATTGCGCGTACGTGCACGCGTTTTCTGAAACAAATAAATCATATAAGAGCACGGTATAAACAACGACAAAAAAACATACGTTGTAAAAGCTATCCATGTCGAATCCACATAATTTATGTCATGTGAATTCATGCACGAGTTATTTACATTAACATAACTTTTTCACCACAGTTAACTTGTATAAAAGTTGTCAATAAACTTTACAAGCGTTGTTTTTATCATTCGCTTGACGATTTGAAATAAAAGAAGCGCTGCTGTTTAGCGACTCTGTCGCCGAGAATAGTCAATCTGCGTCGCGAGGTTCACAATAACGTTTGTTATAGCGGTGCTTCGCTATTCGTGCTTTGTGATAAGTATTTTGACCTGAGTCTTTTTTTCCTTCGTGAGATTAGTGTTTTACAACATTTGTTTCTAAATGATCTCTCAGATCTACGTGATCTGTCTCTTTTGCAACACGTATTACGGTTTTTTGCCAAATACCATTATTAATAAATATATTTGTATACGCCTGTATTGGTGTGTATACTTCATTGTATTGGTTCATTTATTCATTCTTTTATTTCCTTTTACGTGTTGCTTTTTTTTCCTTTTTCCATTTTTCTCTTTATTCTGTCATTTTTAGTTTCTCACATTTTACATATTTTTTCTCACATATCTAAAATTATTTTTTGCACTGCATTGCAAATAAAAATATAAAGACTATGTTGACTCCAGAAGATAGCTTTTATAACAGGTACATATATAATTAAATTAATAATTAAATTAATGAAATTGATTAACCCTTTGCGGTCGGCAGATTTCGAAGAGATCGATAAACATTAATATCTGTAAGTTGATCTAAAAATTTGAATCTAGTATCGGGAGGATAGTTTTCTTTCATTATCGTTAGCCTCGTTCGCCGTGCCGCGTGCCAGGCGATCATGAATGCCAGCCTGGTGGCACCGACTTCTATGATGACTTGCGAATGCCGCCACTGTGGCGGCATCGACCACAAAGGGTTAAATGTCATCCTGACTTACTGCGGTTACAAATCCTCGCCGTTCTATATTTTTGCGCTTGTATTTTGATGATCTAAAACTAAAAGGAGCCGCCGAACTTCTTAGACCTAACGACGATATCGGTATCGCGCGACGCGTAAGCGGTACGCGAGGATGACCGGCCGGTCAATGACATATACGCTGCGACGGCTACACAGCAGACCAAAAATGCTCGCGACAACTATTATCGGGAAATCATTAAAATTTTTTCCTCATTTAATAATTACTTTAAAATATATATGTTTATGTGTGTTTAATGATAATATGACACAAAGATGCGCTCCAGCTGATTTCTTATATAGCGACGGACCTTAGCGGCCCGTGATCGTCGTCTCGGCCGCTAAGCGCGGAACGGCGCACAGTGGGAAAAAACTCATTTTTTGGATAAAAATCTACGGATAGTGCAATTTTGATTGCTTCTTGCACGTTAGAGAAAGAAGCAATGTGGTAACTGTGCGAACCTAGCACGTTGTACTCTTATTTTTTATTTTTTAGGTGTATTGTTGCAGAACTATTTTTTTTTTCGTTATAGAGAAACTGTAGAACTATCAAAAGCGCTATTAGAACTCTACTTGTTTTTTTCATATTGATAGTTTGACGTGTTAACTTCATAGACATGCCTTCTCGCTCCTCCACGCGTTCCTTGAACGCTTTATTTAAATTGGTTATAAGGCCTTCTGAATTTTTATTTTTCATTTTCTCGCGAACAAAATTTTCTTACTCATTATACTTTTACCTAATACTAATGTGCACGAATACTTATCGCTACGAGATGCAGCTAAAAATTATATTTACACGTCAGACCTTTCTCTTGTAAGATGCTACGTTCAAGTTGAATATAAGTTTTTTCATAATTAGTTCCGCAGCCGTATAATGATATATGCAAGATTTACAGTCCTGCAAAAGTTCGGAAGAGTCTTCTTGTATAAAAGCACAAAAACTGAATGACACAACAAAATTAAGGGCAATGACTAAATGAGTATACGAATTGAGGCGCTGGTCGAAATATCGAAGTTGTAGGCATGTCAAAACAAATCTTATATATTTGTAAGCATACTGAAGCATTTTGTACAGGATTGTAGGCACGTTGTTAGCACTATACAGGGTGTTAAATTTCAAACGTAACAGGTAAAAAATCTCGAAAACTATGAAAGATAAAAATAAGCTAAAACATGTGTTCCATGATTTCGAAGGGGAAAGAGACTGGCATTATCAGTTTTTTATTTGGAGGGTATTTTCAAGGTCAGTTGAAGGTCAATTTAATTTCTTTTAATAGAAAGCTCAATTTTTCATTATATCTTCTTTTTCTACCAATTAATTTTAACAACTTTTGTCTGAATTATTTTTTATTTCCTTAATATTTTTTTAAATATTTAAGGAAAACTTGGTAACTTTCAACATTTAATTTACGATATCTCGGTAACAATTCGTCGAAAGAAAAAATAGTATTAGACTTTTATACTTTATTTATTATGAAGAATTATTATATTACTATAATAGTGCCCTAACTTTTGTTAACTTATCGACCTTTGGAAATTTCAAAATTATTAAATTAACAAAAGTTAGGGCACTATTATAATAATATATTCTTGAGACTAAATAAAGCAAGAAAGTCTAGTACCACTTTTTCTTTCGACAAATAGCAAGATATCGTAAGTTAAATATTGAAAAAGTTATCTAGTTTTTCCTCAAATATTTCAACAAATATTAGGCAAATAAAAAAATGTCTTAGACAACAGTTGTTCAAATTAATTGGTAGAAAAAAACAGTGTAATAAAAAATAGGGGTTCCCATTTAAATTTTTCAAGTCGACTTCCAAATGACCTTGAAGGTCATGGCCAAGATCAAATTCAAGGTCACCATCAAGTCCGTTATTCAATTTTCTACAACTTTTGTATTTAAAGTTTTTTATGAAAACTTAATCCTGCAAAATTATTCGGGGGGTCCGGTATTTTTAAGACAGTCTGTATATCGATGGATTCGATATTAAATGCTCTTAAATTTTTGTCCTTATAAAAACTTAAAAATTTGCAAAGATAATGGGGAGGAGGGAGGAGGAGGGGGTAAAATATTGCATTTTGAAACATTTGAATAGACCGGTGGAAAGAGTATAAAATACTATAAAACTTGTCTGAAAGACTTTTTCATATACTTCATATTTTAAGAGATATTAAGTAAAAACGAAAAAGTCCGTTTTTTTCAAAGAGTTTCGACCTCTAAACATCGAGATAAGCACATAAAAGAATACGTATCCAATTTTTTTGATGCTCTGTAAAATATCCAATGCCCATCAAAATCAATGAAGGACAGCCCCGACTTTTTCCTTGTCAGCGCGCAACAAGGCGATCATAATCAGTGATAGCAAATTTCAGCCTAGTGGCTCCGCGGCCACACGCAGTGGGCTAGAATATCTCTAAATGTGGCCAAAAGTCAATATCCGCATTGATCTAAAATAAAGTTATTATTGTATTTAGAATGTTTGAAAATAGTTATAAGAGAAATGTTATGTTGATTGGATTGTTTTTGTATCAGTCTTAATAGGATGAAATTATAAAATACATTAACACTTTTTTTCATTTTCTTTACTTTATCGTTCATATTTTAAACAATTATATATTATTTTTTGGACCTTTAGTTAACGAATATGATGAGCGAAGATCAAGAATGAAAAATATATAAAATTGGAGGAAATAAAAATAAATTGTAACGATACGATCGTTACGCATCGGGCCGAGCCGAATGCAGTCCGCGGGGAAGCACCCTGCACAAGATGCAAGCGAGCGAGAGGAGCGGTAAGAACGAGCGAGCGGCGGGAGCGAGAGAGCGAGACGAACAAAGGAGCGAGCGAGCACGCGGCGCGCGCGTGGAGACAAGGACCGCCTCGGCGCGCGCGGCATGCGATCATCACGTGCCCCCCGTGTCGCGCGATACGGAAGGGGAACGAACTAGAGTCGCACGGGCGGCTAATATAAGGCGCCGTGCGACTGGCAAGAGGACCTGTCTTCCGACGCCTCGAGACGAGGCACCGACCTGAGAGTTCTCCGGCATTTTTCTGAAGCGAGCGTACTCGCCATCTCCGACAGCGAGTGTACTCGCCAATTTCCGAGGGTGAGCGTTACTCGCCATTCCCCAGGACGAGCGTTCTCGCCATCTCCGAAAGCGAGGGTACTCGCCAGTTTCTGAGGGCGAGCGTACTTGCCAGCGCCGAGGACGAGCGTACTCGCCCTCCTCCACAGCGAACGTACTCGCCATCCCGAGAGCGAGTGTCTTCGCCGACTTCTCCAAGGCGAGCGTACTCGCCACCTTCTATCAAGCGAGCGTACTCGCCACCTTTCTAAAAGCGAGCATACTCGCCATCCCAAGAGCGAGTGTCCTCGCCAGTTCTCCAGGGCGAGTGTACTCGCCACCTTCTCTAAAAGCGAGCGTACTCGTCACTCTTCTCCCCTCCGAGCGAGCGTACTCGCCATTCTCCCTAAGGCGAGCGTTCTCGCCACTCTCCCCGAGCGAGCGTACTCGCTCATTGCCTGTAGCAAGTGTCCTCGCCATATCAAAGACGAGGGTGCTCGCCCACCTTAGACAACGAAAAGATCCCCGCGGATAGCCTCGACCGCGTCCCAGCGTGCGAACAAGTGGCCCGAAGAGCCACGAGCAGCCCGACGGCCCCGAACTTTTCCGCGGACGGATCTCGACAAGCGACCACCCACCAGCCGCACGCACCACCCATTCTACCTCAGTACTGTTCACTTCTAAATAAAGCTATTAAATCAATATTAGAGCAAATAATTGAGCGCGATCCCTTCCCGCCGCTGGGTTCCGGCGAGCCGCGCCTCGCCGAGACTCCTCGATAACATTCCTTAGCGGGAAGGACGCACGGACGCACGCCAGGCGTCACATGGCGTCCGAACAGGGACCGGTATCGCGCCCAATTTAGCAAACAATGCCGAGGTGGGTGTATTTTTTGAACAAAGAAACTGTAAGTAAGCTCCTGGAGGAACACCATTTAGATACACAAGGGTCGCTTGACGAACTCCGGAAACGGTTTAACACCTTCATCGTAAAAAACCCTCGGCTGTTAATGTTA